TCTGAACTGTTTTTTATGATTCTATGATAACACGTGGTATTGTATTGTATGACTCTATGATAACAAATTATATTGTATTGTATGATGGATTATCCAATAGCAGAATAAGAAACTGTGTGCTAAAAAGTAACCCACAAAAAAAAAAAAAAAAAACTGGGTGACAAAAATTCCGATCAAAAAGCAAGGCCAAATGGCAGGTCAAATGTCAGGTAAAAAATCAGGCCAAATGGCAGGTCAACTGTATTATTTAAAAAAAAAAAAAAAAAAAAAATAACAAAACCAACCACAGAAAATTTGTAAAAAAAAAAAAAAAAAAAAAAAAAGGGACAATGAAATTCTCCACATGGCTGCGTTGTGTGCAGTTGGACTTGGGTGGTGATGTGCCGTCATCTTGAGGTGGTGATATGCCGCCATCTTGAGGTGGTGATATGCCGCCATCTTGAGGTGGTGATATGCCGTCATCTTGAGGTGGTGATATGCCGTCATCTTGAGGTGGTGATATGCCGTCATCTTGAGGTGGTGATATGCCGTCACCTTGAGGTGGTGATATGCCGCCATCTTGAGGTGGTGATATGCCGCCATCTTGAGGTGGTGATTTGCCGCCATCTTGACCTCGTTTCAGTGTCAAAAGTTTCATGAGGTCCCAACTAGGGGTCGCAATCCGGGATCCCGATTTTCGAAAATACTGGAAAATAACGGAATACCGGATCATAATTGATGCTCGAAAAAAAACGGGATTGGATTTAAGTTTATACACAACTCAACTCTGACCACTACATTTATGCGCAACTCAACTCTGACCACTACATTTATACACAACTCAACTCTGACCAGTACATTTATACACAACTCAACTCTGACCACTACATTTATACACAACTCAACTCTGACCACTACATTTATACGCAACTCAACTCTGACCAGTACATTTATACACAACTCAACTCTGACCAGTATATTTATACACAACTCAACTCTGACCACTACATTTATACGCAACTCAACTCTGACCACTACATTTATACGCAACTCAACTCTGACCAGTACATTTATACACAACTCAACTCTGACCAGTACATTTATACACAACCTAACTCTGACCAGCACATTTATACACAACTCAACTCTGACCAGTACATTTATACACAACTCAACTCTGACCAGTACATTTATACCTAACTCAAGACACAACATTCTGATCATGGTCCATTCTGTGTAGGCAACCAATACATTCATTTCAGGAAAGTGTCAAGTAGCTGTAAACAGAGGTTCTCAACTTTTGGCTCATGTTTGTGCTGCACTGCATGCTGTCATGACTCGAGAAGTTCAGTAGATACCCTTATACTTATAGTACATTTATGGTATGGATAATTTCAGATATTGCCCCCTATTTCATGCCAAGTTGGGGACCTTTCCACACCTCTGATGTTGGTCAGTTCCATGACACTACTTGGACGGGGACCTCTGATGTTGGTCAGTTCCATCACACTACTTGGACGGGGACCTCTGATGTTGGTCAGTTCCATCACACTACTTGGACGGGGACCTCTGATGTTGGTCAGTTCCATGACACTTTTGATAGCACGAGGAACTGTGCTGCTAATAAATTAACAAAACATTTTGAAACTCATCCAACCATGAACATGGTCACTTTTCATGTGCGCTCTGTAATTTAAATGTCACCTCTTTCATGTGCGCTCTGTCATTTAAATGTCACCTCTTTCATTAAATTTTTAATTTTTTTTTTGTGTGGGGAGTGCCAGTTTTCAGATTCGTAGCTGAGAAGGGGCCAGATGTCCCCGGGAACCAGAGTATCAGGGCGCCAAAATAGCTTTAGTGGTATTAAATGGATAAAAATAAGGGATTTCAGAGTTGTCTCCTGGTGCCAAACACTCTGGCTACACCTCTATCAGAATAGGGTGTCAGAATAGGGTGTCAGAATAGGGTGTCAGAATAATGTGTCAGAATAGGGTGTCAGAATAGGGTGTCAGAATAGGGTGGCCCACAGAATAGGGTGGCCCACACAGGCTTCAATTTTTAATTTTATAGAGGCGCAGCATTTTCGTGTAACTGCAGAGTTTGTATCGTGAAAGGGAGTGCGAAAGTATGCTATGTGGAGTCACCTCCCGAGATATTTCAAAATCAACAGGTACATTTCCCAGTATACCTGAATTCAGTGTTTCTATTGATCGGGAAAATGAATTTTTTAAACGTCTGTGGGAGCATAATGGCGTCGACTGCCAAACTTTAAATGAATTCTCTCCAGTTGTGGCGCGTCCCAGAGTAATCATTTAGCAAACCCTTAGATTCAACCACGTACTGTCACACTGATCAGCGTGAGGGAAGAGGGGTGCTGAAATTGAGGGCGTCGGAGACTCTCGGGCGAATTCAATATGCAGGGCATTTTGACGGAAACCTGAATTCCGTGTTTCTTTCAGAGAATATTGAGGTTGAATTGCAGAATTGTGTGTGAGAAGCGCCAAAATTAGCAGCTTAATAATGATCAAGAATATCTCTGCTCCAGCCAAAAATGAACTAAATTATTACCGTTGTAGCGCCCTTGAGGGCGTTCTTTTTGCCCTAGGCTATTCTCGCCCCCTTACATATTCATAGAACCCAGAAAATTGTGTTCTAAATTCCAAATGGAAGAACATATTTTGAACATACCCGAATTTAGTTTTGCAACAATCAACACTGAATAGGAAAGAAAAGGAAGAGATGCTATGTAAAAAAGTACGGGGCCTCGGATATTTTAGATATTTTTATTTATCAACTTTGAATGCAAAGTGGGGGAGGACAAAACCTAAAAGTGGCAGGGGGGCCTGGAAAAGTCATGCGACATCTCTTCTGTACCTACTTGCATTATACATTAAAAAATATATTACGGATATTAAGGTGGCTTTGAATTTTTATTGATCTATTGTTGGGTGTAAACTTCTTAAAACTAAAGCATTTTCAACCCAAAATTAAAACAAAATAAAAAGTTTGTCCAGCACAAATAGCGCAGCGAGCATCATGTTCCACGCAGACCGGAAATACAACAAAAACAACTTAATTGTAATAATTAGAAAGAGAAATAAAACTATTGTGTACAATGGACAATGGTCCATACATTTGTATGTGTTTTTGGAAATAGTCATGTTTATAAATTGTATGCGTATCGCATAATTATGTTGAGAAGACATGAGATGTTTACCATAACATCATATTATTATATTTAATAATGTGTGATTTATCTCAAAGAAATCATATAAAAATAAAGTAAAAAGTTCCCAAAATTCAGTTGATTGTAATGATTATTTGGAATTTCAAACAACTATAACGTTCTGAGACAAATTGCCTCTTCGATATACTTTTACAGATATTTTTTTTTTACTAAAACTAAATTCACATAAATTATTTTTTTTTATTCATGTGTAAATGTAAGGAAGAAAATTATTTCAAAAATTAGTACCAAAATTCGATTCGGTAAAATAATCGAAATACTATTTCACATAAACATTTTTTTATCGTTCTACTGGATTCTCTAAAAAAAACAAAAAACAAAACAACAACAGCATATATAATATTTTTTTACAGTGCGTGCAAATGAGTGAGGCAGATTGTTTATTATTGAATTATTGTGTTATCAGAGGAAAGACAATGTCAACAACAACACCTCTCCTATTCAGGAAACTGAAGAAAACACAAACGTTTTAATGCTATAATAATAGATTACACCGAGACGTGCACAATGACGCTATAAAAAAAAAAGTTTTAACAAAAATTTTTCTCGCTCAACGTACGTGAAGTAGAGTACATTTAAAATTATACAAAGCGTGGTAACAATAATTCTATTTTTTAGGCCTTAATATAATGCCATCTTACAATTTATAATTAGAGTCTAACACCTATTATCGCTATTTGAATGTTCATGCTTTGCACATGTTTAATACTTAGCGAGAACTGTAATAAAAATATAGACCTTTACATTGGCGTAATTGTATTTTAATAATTATTCATATTATACAAATAAAGTCTTGTGAAATTGCAAAAAAAAAATAAAAAAAAAAAAAAAAAAAAAAAAAAAAAAAAAAAAAAAAAAAAAAAAATAAAAAAAAAAAAAAAAAAAAAAAAAAAAAAAAAAAAAAAAAAAAAAAAAAAAAAAAAAAAAAAAAAAAAATAAATAAAAGAAATAAAAAATAAGATATCGATATATTATGAGAACAATATGAAGTAAGTCTTTTTCTCATAATCGGGCGAGGCTAATTTTAGAAAATATATCGAGCAGGGCGATATTTCATATATTCCACTAATTGTAATCGGTCAATGGCATTAGTTACTATTTTTTAAAATTGTTTTAAAATTTGTTTAAAAAGACAATTCAGTTGCTTTTTATAACCAAAAAATACTATCATTTTATTGCTGTACACATTTTGCTCCGGGAGGTTGGGGGAGGGGGGGTTGGAATTGGGACACTTGACTGATTGCTAACACTGTGGACCTTGACAACAATCGAATTTCAAATAATGGGAAGTGATCGCTAATAGTATGAAAGATCTAACTTTTTAAAAAGTTACTTCCCATTGACTGCCAAACGGATAAAACAAATAAATTGTGGGGTCGTGTTACAAGATTTATTCAAGTAAAAAAAAAAAAAACGGGATAATTATACATTGATAAATCCCAATGGCATTGAACTTATTTTGTTGTTTGGACTTTTGGAAATTTTGAAGAAAAATAAAATATTTGAAAAGGGGCATTTACTTTCATCATTTGCACTTACACACGCACAGCACAGTCCACCCGGTTTGATGGAAAGTAACCTAAAGCCTAACTGGCCTAACGTCTAAATCGTACAGATTAATCAAAGATCCCAGATGTTCCCAAATTTGTATCCCAGCTATTCCAAAATATGAACCATCTTATTTCTTAAAGTCGTCCTTGGCTTTATGTAAGTGATACGATATATTATGTTTCATCTGAAATCATTTTTTAACAAATGAATAGGACATAGTTTCGGGTTTTCCCTCAAGTACCGCTGTAAAAACCCTCTACAACTGAACTACTACAGAGGTGATTATTCAAAGAATCTCAGTGGCAAAGACAGGGAAGTCAATTGATATTTTTAACATTTGGAACTCCCTAACGGATGTCAAGTGGAAACGTAAACTAAGGCGAATTTGAGCAATAGGCGAGATTTTTTTTTCCAATCATTCGGCTAACTCATCCATAGTCCCAACAAGTCAACAAGCAACAGGATATTTGCCCAGCGACGCGAGCAATAAACTGTGGAATAAGAAATAACTTTTAATTAGGTAATCATGGTTGAGAAGATTATCCTGCCATTATTCCTGCTTCTGACAGTGATTTATCTTCAATGTATGGCACATAAAGGGAATATTGTGGATATGTCAATGGATAACGCAGACAATAATACAGGCGTTGCAGTTAATTGTGGTAAGTTGAATCTGGATTGCGCATTAATTTCCTAAATTATATTTTATTTTGTTTCATTGCCAATCATATTATGTCTGTACAGTTTGATTACACTTTTTATTGTAATTTTAACTACCGGCAACAACTCTATTTTGTGTGGGGAAACTTTTAAAATAATTTATACCCATCAAATAAAGAAATTTCTCCACTCCACATGTATGTTTCAAACAAATTGAATTAAATGCTGGATAAAGTTAATGGAAGATGTCACGCTTTTTAGCCGAAGTATCTAATGATCTGCCTTACTTAACTTAAAAGTTGTACATCGTTATTTTGTCTTTAGGCAAAGTTGACATTCTTCTTTCCTGGACACCAAAAGAGCTCTCGCCATCAGGAGAAGTAAAAATAAAACTTAGCTACATAGTCCGTAAGTGATTTGGTGAAAACTCTTGAATATATTATATTTAAATATAGGTTCTAAAAATTAAGACAAATGATTGTAATTTTCATGAAGGAAATCTATGTTCTCTCTTTAGTTTGTCAATTTTTGTTAACAGCTTTTTCAATTGATGGTGGTTTCTTCAATGCAAGTCTTTACTTCCATGGAGATGACAGTCCCTTCCTTGGCTATGCAGACAATTTTGACTGTGACACAATGAAGCAGTATGGTATACAATGTCCGATTAAAAAAGGCTGTGAGTACACGGTTAAATGTTAAATTATTTAAATGGATAAAAGTTGACATAATGGATACAAATGAACATACTGGATAAACTGTTGATGTAATGAATGAAATGTTTGGATAAAAAAAAGTAAAAGATACAATTTTGAGTTTATAGCTCTGTAAGAACCAATAGTGTTGACTGAAGTACTTGTAAGTAAAGTAAATGTCTATAAGTATGTAAAATATGTAGTGGCCTAACTAAGGGGTGGGGGAGGGCATTAATAAATAATAATATAATATTAAATAAATGATGTATGTGTGTCAAAAGGGTACACTTTTAGTTTTAGAGCTTTGCCTCAGCAGCATTTAGAGAAAGAATTTACAATACTCTTTGTTAATTGTGTACTGTAAGAAATTTGTGGAATGTGTAATTAAATAATATATTCCAATAAACTTTTAATTCCAACAATTAATTTAGTATTGAAATTTCAAAACATAATGAGAGTATAAAACATAATGAGAGTATAAAACATAATGAGAGTATAAAACATAATGAGAGTATAAAACATAATGAGAGTATAAAACATAATGAGAGTATAAAACATAATGAGAGTATAAAACATAATGAGAGTATAAAACATAATGAGAGTATAAAACATAATGAGAGTATAAAACATAATGAGAGTATAAAACATAATGAGAGTATAAAACATAATGAGAGTATAAAACATAATGAGAGTATAAAACATAATGAGAGTATAAAACATAATGAGAGTATAAAACATANGATTTTTTTTTTACACCCCCCCCCCCCCATAAAAAATTATGCATTTTAATTAAATTAGCCAATGACAACCCCACACCTCCATGTGTGAGTTTGTTTTTTGATCACCAGAAAAAAAAAAGAAGAAAATTCATATTTGTGGTTCATTAAATTAAAAATTAATATCGCGATGTGACTGCTGAATTCTATTCCATAAACACAGATACAGCCTGACTATTTAGTCAATGATAAAAATAACAACAAAACCATTTCATCTTTTTCCCCAGTGCGATTTACATTTACCAAAGCCATATCCAATCTCCATGTGCTGACCAGCTATCCAGTGAGTTATCTAGAAAGATCTAGAATATTAATATAGATACTGGTACTGATGGCTATATTTGAACATAAAATTAGCTAAAGTTCTAAAATTGTAATGAATGTTTTGTTATCATGGGCACGAGAGGACATAATTTCAAAATATGGGAAGTAATTTCAAACTATGGGACATAATTCCAAACTATGGGACATAATTTCAAACTATGGCTAGTAATTTCAAACTATGGGACATAATTTCAAAATATGGGAAGTAATTTCAAACTATGGGACATAATTCCAAACTATGGGACATAATTTCAAACTATGGCTAGTAATTTCAAACTATGGGACATAATTTCAAACTATGGCAAGTAATTTCAAACTATGGGACATAATTTCAAACGCTTAAAAACATGAACATTAACACTGGAAAGTTAGTTTATAAATATGGAACTTGTTTTCTGCTTGAAGCTGACCTTAAAGTCTGTGAGACCCTATTAATGTCACTGGTTAGTTCAGGAAGTGATACTCTGAAATCATTTATTAATAAGGAAGATAATTGCCAACACTTGAGAAGGGAGGGACAAATTGGATAATTTTAATAATAAAATATTACCTGACACTGAGAGAAATGAAGAGAGAAGCTGGCTATTAATACATGTGGTCACTTTGATAAGAGATGTTCACACTGAACTCTCACTTTGATAAGAGATGTTCACACTGAACTCTCACTTTGATAAGAGATGTTCACACTGAACTCTCACTTTGATAAGAGATGTTCACACTGAACTCTCACTTTGATAAGAGATGTTCACACTGAACTCTCACTTTGATAAGAGATGTTCACACTGAACTCTCACTTTGATAAGAGATGTTCACACTGAACTCTCACTTTGATAAGAGATGTTCACAATGGAACACTCAAACACAATAGAAAATCCAGTCATTTTATTTTTGTTTTAATGTCATATGACACTCCACCCCCCCCCTCCCCCACCCTTTTATTTTCCCCCAGGGTTATTACGATGCCATTGTCCAAGTTTGGAACAGTCAAAATGACGAGATGTTCTGTGTCAACCTGACGTTGAAGGTTCTAGAAGTCTACAATGGACCAGATGGATACTAAACAACACATCAGTAACACACACATTTTCTTCTTCAATCATTATCAAATACATGTTTGATTGTTTGTTTTTTTGGTTCAGATTTCAAGTGCTTGAGATTTTATTTGATGCATGTTTACAAGATTTAATTTTATTTCCCATTAAAGTTGATTCATTTTTTGACTGAATATTAGCAATTGACATGGTCTCATGTCAGTTTCAATTTGTGACTGAATATTTACAATTGACTTCAATGGTCTCATGTCAGTTTCAATTTGTGACTGAATATTTACAATTGACTTCAATGGTCTCATGTCAGTTTCAATTTGTGACTGAATATTTACAATTGACTTCAATGGTCTCATGTCAGTTTCAATTTGTGACTGAATATTTACAATTGACTTCAATGGTCTCATGTCAGTTTCAATTTGTGACTGAATATTTACAATTGACTTCAATG